GGGGTAAGGTCTGCATACATATTACCCTCCCCAGACCCCACTTGTGGGATTATACTGGATCGTCGTTGTTGTTGTTGTTGTTGTATGAATGAAATGTCTGGATGGAAGTCCCTATCGATTAAAAAACTATACAATACCATGAGAGGAGAATTCCAGAAAGTGACTTGGAGAATATTAACTTGCAATAATGTAGGAGCTCCAAAACGGATATTTGTGCTAAACTTGGCGATACAGAAACGACTGCTCACAAGAGACAGATTGAACAACTGGGGGATAACTGATGTTTTGAGCTGTCCTATGTACAATGAAGAAAATGAGACAATGGATCATTTGTTCTTTAGCTGTGTGGTATCTAAAGAGGTCTGGGGAAAGGTTCTGAAATGGCAAGGCATTTCGAGAACTGCCTTAGACTGGCAAAAGGATATTGAATGGGCAGAAAGAAATGCAAAGGATAGAAATGTAGATGCGCAATTGTATAGAGTAACGCTGGCTTGTGTGGTATATCATATATGGAGGGAAAGGAACATGCGAGTCTTTCAAGGGCAACAACAACAGAATGAAGTGCTAGTTAGGCATATTATTCAAGAGGTGACAAGTAGAGGGCTGATGAAGAATAGACCAGTAAAGAAGCTTGAAACATTAAATTTTTATCCATAGAAGTATAGAAGCTGAGTAGCTAGAGACGTTATGAGCCTAAGGTATGTCTAGGCTCAGTTTGCCTTGTTTTGTACATATTGACATTGGTAAATAAAATCTTTACTTACCAAAAAAAAAAGTGTCATTTTATAACAACTTAAACTTTTAGATGAGATGTTCACACGGTTCAATACAATAACAACAACAATAATACATTCAACTCCTTATTCCTACCTTGGAATAACATAAGTAAAGTATGGGAAAGATAATGTGTACGCAGACATTATCTTTACCCTGATAAGGTAAAAAAAATTATTTCTGATAGGCCCTCAGCTTACTGTTCAATATATATATATATATATATATATATATATATATATATATTGAACAGTAAGCTGAGGGCCTATCAGAAATAATTTTTTTTACCTTAAAGACAAGGATTAAAAGATAAAAGTCAAGAGTCTATAGGCACACCTATAGCTTCTAAAGTTTGAAAATTTTACCAGATTAATGCTACAAAGCTTCTTAAAATCCATTGGAATATTGTTAATATCGTCTCTTTGAGGTAAAAACGAAAAGAAGTAAAAGCCCCAGGTATTCAATTCTGAATAATAATTGAAAGTTGAAATTTTCAATTTAAGGGTAAATAATAAAAACTCAATATATACAGAATAATGTTAATATATGCAGAGTAAAGTTATTCAATAATTATATAATTTTTTTTTGGTAAATATTTATTCTTTCTTCAAGTAATAGGTAAAATTCAAATATATATGAAAAATAAGGATAAAATACTAATAATAATTTGTCACAACCCAAACTCGACCGTCGTGATGGCGCCTATCGTGGAACTAGGTTAGCCTCAACTCAATAACCCAACACAGCAAAAATAACTTGAACAATAATAACGGAAGTGATTAATCATTAAAGAAACATTTTTGAAAGCATAATAAATCCCAAGTACGATATAATTTAGCCCAAAAATCGGGGTGTCACTGAGTACATGAGCGTATAGAACATAATACAGTCCACTAAAGTGTCTAGAGTAATAGAATAAAATACAGCCAGAGATAAGGAAAGAGAGTCAAGGCCTACGAACGTCGTGCAGCTACCTCGATAGTCTCCAAAGTCTGAAGTCTCGATCAGCAACCGCCACTGTGACCAAAAGTGCCTGAATTTGCACACGAGGTACAGTGAGTAACGTGAATACACCAACTCAGTAAGTAACGAGTCCAAACTATGGACTGAAAGGTAATGACAAACTCAACCGGTACAGATAAACATGGAAATGACTAAGTAGAAACGTAGGCATACTTCCAATTTAATAGACGGTTCAAAACAGTAAAATAGAGCAGATACGAATAGTGCAAAAAATATAACTCTGCTACATCTATATGCCAATGCACATGGTGTATGTGATGCACCATGCCGAATGCCTCATGTGCTCACACTCTCAAATGCTCGTCCACTTAAATTAATTTGATTGGATTTGATTTCTCACCTTGTTATCCTCAGTCCCAAAATAAAAAGTTGCACAGCACATAGAAAATATTGCTATTGTTACATGTCCTTTTAAATTAATTTGAACAATATCTTTTTGGAGAAAAGAGAAGGAAAAAAAACAAAAATGAAAAAAAAAACTACTTTATCTTTTTCAGAATACTCACATGACAGTACTGCTGGCTAGATATATACTTGGCTGTCACAAATGATTGATGTCACGACCCTAACCCCGAAGCCGATTGTGATGGCGCCTCTCGTGAAGACAAGACCAGCCAGTTTAACCCAATTCATCTTTTAAAGAAGTTAATCAACACAAAAATAGTCTAAACATGATTTAATAATACTGAATAGCGGAAATATCGATAACAATGCGGAAAATCTAACCCAACACAGCCCTAACTGGAGTGTCACAAGTCACGAGCATCTCTAAACCATGATACAAGTCTGTTAAAGTCATCAACTACTACAAATATTTGAAGAAGAATATGAATGATAGAGGAGTAGAGACACGGGGCTGCGGATGTCAACAACTACCTCGTAATCTCCGAAAGGCCCGCCTGGAACTGGAGGAAATCAGCACTCCGGAGCGGAACCAGCTACGCCTGAATCTGCAAACAGGGTGCAGGGAGTAAAGTGAGTACTCCAACTCAGTGAGTAACAAATGTAAATAGCGGCTGAAAGTAAGAAAACACGTAAAAACACAAGGCATTCTATAATGAAGCAGTAAAAATCACTTAAAATCAGTAAAACCAGTAAAAAACCCAAGTGAAATCCTCTTTCAACCAGTAAACAGGTAATTGACAGATAATTAAGATAAAGTAAACAAATAGAAGTTCGCCCCTCGGGTACAATATCAACAAATCCGCCCCTCGGGCAACATCTCAGAACAGTACCAGTCCCTCGGGCTCAATCTCAGAACAATACCAGCTCCTCAGGCTCAATCTCACATCACAATGGGTACCCGCGCTCACTAGGGGTATACAGACTTCGGGAGAGGCCCCTTACGGCCCAAGCACAATATCAAGTCATCTCGTGGCATCAAATCTAGGCCCTCGGCCTCATATAAATCAAGCCACCTCGTGGCATATATGTATCTAAGGCCCTCGGCCTCAAATCAGTATCAGTGTATCCTCACAACTAGGCCCTCAGCCTTACTCAGTCCGAAAATTATCACAAGCCCCTCGGGCAATAGTAAAATAGTATTTCTCAGCCCAAAACATCATTTAGAATATCATTTAAGTCTCAAAACTGAGTAAAAGTGGCTGAGTAGTAAAATAGTGGAAAATAACATGACTGAGTTCAAGTAATAAGTCAAAACAGTAAGGAAATAGTAATACAAATTCCCGAAGGGTTCAAATAGTTGGCACGAAGCCCAAATATGACAATCAACCCAAATCATGATGATAGCAAATAAGTTTCAGTCAAATACACGGTAAAATCATCAACTAGGACGGACTAAGTCATAATCCCCAATAGTGCACGACCCCACGCCCGCCATGTAGCGTGTGTCTCACCTCAATATAGCACTACGATGTGCAATCCGGAGTTTCAAACCCTCATAACATCATTTACAATCATTACTCGCCTCAAACCGGCTAAATCTCTAGCTCGCAACGCCTTTGCCCCTCGAATCGACCTCCACGCACGTCGAATCTATCCAAAATCAGAATAAGTACGTCAATATATGCTAAGGGAACAAAGCCCAAGCGAAAACAATCAATGAAAGGCACAAATCCCGAAATTAGCAAAACCCGAGCCCCGGGCCCACTTCTCAAAACTCAAAAAATTTCACATCAATAGATTCCTCATCTCCCCACGAGTCTATGCATATCAAGAATGCCAAAATCATAGTTCAAATGACTCATCAAATCCTCAATTTAAGGACTCTTAAAATCAAGCCCTAATCCTCCATTTCTAGCCCTTTAATTCCTTTAATTTCAGACCTAATCCATGAAATACTACCATAGAAATGTGTTTTAGGTCCAAAATCCTTACCTTCACGAAGTTCCCTTGAAATCTCCCTTCCAAATCGTCCAAAAGCTCTCAAGCCGAAGTCAAAAATGGTGAAAACCTTCAAAAATCACGAAGGCAAGCTTATATACATTCTGCCCAGACATTGTCACATCTGCGACTTACCAACCGCTTCTGCGATACCGCATTTGTGGTCAAACCTCCGCTTTTGCGGAAATTCATTAATCCAGTCTAAACCGCATCTGCGGTCCAGTCGCCGCATCTGCGGTTCTAGACATCCCTCATCCTTTCCGCTTTTGCGACACACTCAACGCACCTGCGATACCGCACCTGCGGTCCCCAAACCGCAGGTGCGAAAACACCAGAAGCAGCAAACTTCAGCAGCTGCAATAACCTTCCAACTTCTCCGTTAACCACCCGAAATCATCCCGAGACCCCCTGGACCTCAACCAAAAGCACACATATAACCCAATGCCTTATTCAAACTTTGTTCCAATTATCAAAACACCTCAAAAAATATCAAATCTACAAAATCACATCGAATTCAAGCCTAAGTTTCTAAAATCTTCCAAAATATGCTTTTGATCAAAAACCCAACCAAACCACGTCCGAATGACCTGAAATTTTGCACACACATCCCAAATGACACAACGAAGCTACTGCAACTCTCGGAATTCCATTCCGACCCTTATATCAAAATCTCACCTATCAACCGGAAATCGCCAAAATATCAACTTCGTCAATTCAAGCCTAATTCTACTCCGAACCTCCAACACCCATTCCGATCACGCTCCTAAGTCATAAATCACCTCCCGAAGCTAACAGAACCATCAGAACTCACATCCGAGCCTTCTAACACATAAGTCATCATCCGATTGACGTTTTTTCTAACTTAAGCCTTCTTAAAAGAGACTAAGTGTCTCAAACTTCACCAAACTCGATCCGACCAACCCGATACTACAAAACACGGATAACGAAGCATAAAGAAGCAGAAATGGGGAAAACAGAGCGGTAACTCATAAGACGACCGGCCGGGTCGTCACAATTGAATAATTTGGAATCTTGTTCTAAGTATTTCTATAATTCATTTCTTATTATCTTTATCCAATAAGATTGTCATGACCCAAATACCTAACCTACTGTGATGACGCCTAATATGGAACTATGCAAGCCAACACTTTCAATTTACTTTCAACATATGATAGAAATGAGTTAAGATAATTAAATTAACTGGATGTTTACATAACAATGGTGTAAAATCCAAAACATAAGTGCGGAATAATAGCCCGACATCGGAGTATCACTAAGTTATGAGCATCTAACAACCAACCTAGAAACAAAGTCTACAACAGTCTGTGCCAAATGCCAATACAAGAGAGAAAAGATAATAAGAAAGGAGAGACAATAAATGTGGAATCCAACAACTATCTCGTAGTCTCCGATAGTCATCCACGCACGAGGGGTTCCTACAGCCCAAGCACTATATCGCTGCAGCGTACAACCCAATCTAACATATAAATAGCCATAAGGCTCATTACGGCGTGCAA